TTGGGTTGATTAGCTGATTGGCATGTCACCATATTCTAATTTGTTGAGTGAATTGGTGGGTTTTTGTTAAATGTGAGCCAAAATCATCACTATTAAAATAACCAAAGACTTAAACTACTTCAGTCTGTGTGCAGTGAATTTATTTAATACACGAGTTTCACAATTTGAGTTGAATTACTGAAATAAATTAACTTTTCCACGACATTCTAATTTATTGAGATGCACCTGTAGATAGGGTTAAAGCTATGTTTGTTTGCTTGGAATGTTGTTCCGTGACTAATACAAGATTGTGATGCAGGAACACTTAGTTCTTGGCAAAACCAGGGTTTACACCCTTATCTTTGTGATTGACAGGATTATAATAACCTGAAATCTTTGTTTGGAACTTCACTAGGTCTTCAACTTCATTTAAAAGTTATGGCCAGCAACAGACCATTTTATAATAACTGAACATGGAAAGTTTACAAAGCGTTAATGCAATTACTCACATTTTCACGATCATGAGAAGAGAGCCACCTGAAGCTGAATCAGGATGCTTTGACAGTTTGTCAATGAAACAAACATATGGTGCAGCATAAAGCTTTGCCCAAAAGGGGGAAATAATAAATAAATAAAAAAATAAAAATAAGAGATTCCAGAAAAAAACTAATACTTCTAAGAATAAGTGGCATGATATTAGATCTATAATTAGTAAATTAATGGCAGAATACAAATAAAGCTTTTCCAAGATGTCAAACAGAGTTTTGTTATAAGTAGTCAACAAGAAACATTTTTCATTAAGTCACAGACTGTTTGCATGTGTCTTGGTTAATTTTAAAACATATTCATCAACAATTATACCTACCCTAATTATGCATTAAGCACAAATCTTGTGTGAGTGTGTTTGTGTACTGTAATAAAACAGTTCTCATTTCTGCCTTTGTTTAGTTTTTTTTCATGTGTACTTCAGTCTGTCTGTATGCTAGCATTCATTGAGGCCACTTTTAAGTGTGTGTGCATGCGTGTGTGTGTGTGATTGCTGTCTAGATTAAACACGATCAGCTGACCAATCAGAACTCACATAGACACAGATAAGCAGCTCTACTGATAGATGACGTGGTGATATCATCCCAATATGACATCATCGTATCAGTGCAACTGCCCTGCCAAAGAAACACATGCCAGTGACTAGGCATTATAGCGATGTAATCAGCTTTAGTGAGAGCCTTGCTTCAACAAAACGTGGGCCGCCACAGGGGTGTGGGGGGATGACAACAGCATGAGACATCCAAGAAGATGCTTTATCTCTCTCAAACAGTGTTCCCAACTGAAGTTACAGTACATCTGAAGTTTTGGCTGGTTCTGCAGTCCTTCTTTAGTAAGTAGTCATTTAGCTGACACTTTTATTGAAAGTGACTTAAAGTACAGTAAAAATGAGTCCCTCTGGAAAAACAAGGAGGTTCTAGACCATGAGTGCCCAGTCCTGCTCTTGGAGGGCCAACGTCCTGCGGAGTTTATCTCCAACACACCTGCCTGGAGGACCTTAATTACCTGGTTCAGGTGGGTTTAATTAGTGTTGGAGCTAAACTCTGTAGGATGTTGGCTGTCCAAGAGCAGGACTGGGCACTCCTGGTCTGGATTAAAGTCACAATGGTGGTAGTTTGAACATACAAGCATTCAGTTATGAGACAAGGTCTTTAACCACTATACCTCATCCGATTCTCATCCCACCCTCATCTTTTGGTAATAAGTTCTAGTTGAAGGTTCAGTGGAAGCATGTTCATCAACAGTCCAAAAGTAAGGTTGTTTCGCAGTTATTGCAACTCTTCCAACTTGTTAGTGTTGGAGCTAAACTCTGTAGGATGTTGGCTGTCCAAGAGCAGGACTGGGCACTCCTGGTCTGGATTAAAGTCACAATGGTGGTAGTTTGAACATACAAGCATTCAGTTATGAGACAAGGTCTTTAACCACTATACCTCATCCGATTCTCATCCCACCCTCATCTTTTGGTAATAAGTTCTAGTTGAAGGTTCAGCGGAAGCATGTTCATCAACAGTCCAAAAGTAAGGTTGTTTCGCAGTTATTGCAACTCTTCCAACTTTTTTTTTCATTTTACCCAGAGCTAAAGTCAAGTTTTTCACATTGCACCAGAGCATGGTTTGAATCCATTGATTTCAAAGGGGATGGTGCATCATAAGGACATAGAGCAGGGGTGACAAATCATGCTCCTAAAGGGCCACTATCCATAAAGGGGTTTAGTTCAAACACACTTGCCAGGAAGTTATCCATAAAGCCTTAATTAGCTGGTTCAGGTGTATTTAACTGGGGTTAGAGATAAACTGTGCTGGAAGCTGGCCATCCATGAGTAGGACTATACACTCTTGACAAAGAGGAAAAAATGCCAAAGTCTGCTAAATTGTGATCTTTTATCATGCGACCAAAATTTGAGAAACACTGTTGCTGCAATGGATTCTGGCATAGTCAGTTCATCCATTTAGCCATTCCTTCTTCATTTTAAACTGTCTCACTCTTTCCAAACCCTTAAAATGTATCGTATGCATTCCTTTCCATCAAACACTTTCTCCAGTGTGCAAGCGCCATGAAATATGTTCTGATTGGCTGTGATTGTGTGGCGTTGTGTAGCATTTTGCCTTCACCATTGACAGACAAATTACTTGTTGATGGAAACTTGAGTTGCACTTGGTTAGGAAACCGCGTAATATATTGTAGCATCCAGCTTGAATAATAACTCAGAAAATTACAATAGCTTTAAAGTAGTAGCTTCCGACGAAACAAGGATGTCTCGATAGCACTTCCACCCCACTGTCTCACAAAATGACACTGAATTGAAATGCAGAAACAACATTGCTGCTTATTCACCCAAGCATGAGAGAACCCATCACAGCCAACAAGATAACATGTCTGGTCCAAACTTAGAAACATTTATACGCACTCAGAGGATTGCTTTGTTCTGGAGTTCTAGTTTTTGACCCAGTGGCAGGCTAGTCCCTGTGTCTCCGGGCAGCCAGGCCATGCGTTAAACAGCACCCCCCCCACACACACACACATTCACACACCACTCCCCACAGTCAGGTGATACTGGCCCTCCGCTCACAATGTGACTTCTCTGTTCCACTCCAACAGACAGATTGAAGGAGGGACACAAATAAAATGACAAGTAAAAAGAAAGAAAACAGCACACATAACCAGAAAAGAACAAACTGATTCATAATCTAAAAAAAAAAAAGAAAGATTTAGCTGATCTCATTAAGAAATATAATTTTTCTTGTATAAACACATACAACGGAGACCCGCAACAGATGGAGGAAGTATCCAAAATGTGGACTTACCTTGCTGGCTGCGCCTTTGGGCATAAACCACCACCACGGCTGCAAATACCACACAGCAGAAGGACGTCACAATGTTGGCCATCTGCGGAGACACACACAGAGGTAGATCGTGAGGCTTCTGGCCTGCCCGAGAGAAACTGGGTGGCACCGATGCCAAGACAGCATGAGGACAGTTTCCTCCTTCCTTCCCCCCTCCCTCTCTCCCTCTCTCCCTCTCTCTCTCACTCGCTTGTTTTCTTTCTTCCAGTGTCTCTGCCTCCTGATTCCCCGCCCCACTTCTCTCTATCTCTGTCTCTCTCTCTCTCTTCCCTACTTTACAGCATCTCATCAGTGGAATCAGCGTCTTCAGGGACTGATATTCTCTCTGCCCAACTGGCTGCGGGATAGACAGACCTAGATGAGAAGTAGGAAGAAGGAAAGACAATGCCAGACTGTTGGGATCCAGGATTGACCATCATAAAGTCCTTCACAGTCTCTCGCTATCTGGACTTCTATCTCTCTTTTGTTCTCGCTTTCTCACAACCAAACTCTTTTATAAATCAGGGGAAATTTTCTTTGATCAACGATAGCTAATTCAAAACTCCCCAACAGTAGGCCTTACACGTTTTATACGTCTCCCTTATGTAGGGTGGCCATATGTGCCGTTCATACAGGACACGTTCTGGCCAAGATTTTTATATTGCCTGAAACATCCAAAGTAGTTTGAACAATAACATGCAGGTATTGTATATAATCAACCAATTGTGGCGCGAGAGAAGTTGAGATCTACAGAGAACGATCAAAGCGATACAAATACGCGCACATGTTTGTTTATTCGTTCGACTTGAAGCGTCACTGTGCACTGATCACTGAATGACACCAAAGTATCACGGAAACGGTTTGAAAGCATAAGGAGCCGTCTTCTCTGCTCTTTATAGCTCTCACGAATGTCATAAAATGATCGATCTGCACAGTGCAAACAGCCAAAACCTGGATATTTTAAGCAATATAGAAATCCTTGCAATGACACGTCCCGTAAAAATGGCCCATATGGTCACCCTACCCTTATGTGACACACACATTTCAATACCTGACAGGTAGTTTAGTTACAAACTCAATGGTTGAGCCAATATTGTTGGCCACTCAAACAAACAGCCTGACTGCACACAACCTTATATCATTGAAATATGTGTCTTGATCAATCATAACAGCCCTAGATTGTGAACAGCAAACAGCCTATACTTCTACACTTCTAACCAATCAGAAATACTCTAGGCTTGTCAATCATTTTGAGTGTTCATAGATTTTTGAGAGACATTGAGTTGGTTTTGTCTTTGGAGGGCAATGTTTTGGAGAGAGGGCATCACTTATAATCACTTCTCACAACTTTAATGGAGTACCGGTTTTCATTTAAATGTGCAGTGTGTAATTTCTGCACCACATGTGGCACCGAATGGAATTGCAAAAAATAATTACCATTTCCATACAAGTTTCAAACACTCCCTTGCCTGCTGTTAGTTGGAGAATGTGTGGCTGAAGTTTGGTTTTGGAAGAATTGGTGTGTTGAGTTCATAATAAGTTATCTGATGAAAGGCTTTCATATCTTAGAAAATCTTAGCACAGTTTGAGACATTGCTAAGATGAGAAGTTAGAAAAATCTGAAAACTTAAAATATGATCTCCATTTAATCTCATCCATGCTAGCATACAGGATAAAGCTTAAGGATAAATAATTGCGATATTAAAAGGATTCCTTTAGTGATTTCCTTTTCTATGGGAAGACTTCAGAGTGAAACATTTGAAATCTAGACCAAAAACAACACGTTGTTAGGTCAGGAAATCAATTTGTCTCCCTAAGCACACCAGAATGTAAAACATTAAAAAGAGCCCACAGTTAAAACAAACACAAAGAGAGGCATTCATCAGAGCGAGACACGGCATATTCATAACCAGAGAATAAACTTTTTTTTCCCTGGATGAATGCACACATAAAGCCACGGATGGAGTACAAGCATTCGTTGTACACTCACTTGTTTAATTGTCTCGCATGATCCCAACAGTAGATATTCATTAAAGTTAAACAGGGAATTATAACACACCCCATTATCAGAATGGTTAACTTGCTAAAGGAAATTTATACTTACTTTATTTATATATTTAGTATTGCAATCACAACACCGTCTTGCTAATTGTAAAGAACCTAGCTCACTTGCAGCAAAAGTTCTTGATTGTTTTTGCTGGCAAAAACGTCCTCGTCTTGGCTGGCTTCGAAGATGTAAGTGGGAGTGATGTGCATATAGTATTTGTGCAATAATTTTATTGATGTAAGTGTTTAATAATGTGGATATTTAGCTTTTGTCAGCTACTTATTAGGTTGTGATTCATGGGTCTGCATACTTAGGGTGTCTTTTATCAACACGCTGTATTTATCCAGTATTCGACACTCATTAAACACAAGGTTCACATACACACACGTGTGAAGACGAGAGAGCAAACTATTTTCTTTGTTTGATCAATGTCGCAGACTAAAGTCAATATTGTACATTCTCGCTGAATAACGTCTTTGCATTTGTTTGTCTCTGTGTGTCGTTCATCAAAAATCCATCATAAACATTGCATGAGGTCATCATTTACATACAGATGAAAATGAACCTGTTGAAATCAAGCATATGTCTGCATATTGCTCAAATCTCATTGCACAGCACATTATATTTAGAGGGTACAGTTGATAAATCTTTCACATTCAATTAATTGTAGCTTTGTAAGTATGTCCAAAATTACTTTTCAATTTTTTCAATTATAACCGCTTATAAAACCAAAGCTTTCCTCTATTTCGTTGAGATTCTTGAGTAAAGCAGAGAAATGCTTTAGTCTGTTGACTGGCACTTTATATTTATTCCAGCACTCGAGAAAAAAAAAATGGACTGACAGGAGTGAAATTAAAATTGTATCTCTCTGTCAGTTCTTCAAAAATCCTCGTCTTTCTGGTGCCCATAAGTAGCATTTAGCCCATCTGGGACCTGCGAATTTAATAATACGATGGTCAATGAGATCCGTTTTGTTTGCTTTATCTGCTGTCTTATTTATTTATTAATTTCTTATTTATGGCCATTGCTGCTGAATAGATGCATTTCGCTCACTGGTTAATTAAAATATATAATTCATCGTCGATGCTGAATTATTTTTTTTGCACCCGTCTCAGGTTCCTTGTGATGTCCTGTAAAATTTGCATTTAAATTGGAAAGCCTGAATTGAATACTCGCAAAGAAGTTATGAAGTATCACAAAATAGTATGTGTTTAGATGAAGGTACAGGCGAGACTGTGCATAAAACCATCTAGAAAGCTCATAGACCAGTTTTAAAAAATGTATTTTTTTGTTTGTTTTTTAATTCTGAATTTATTTTTTACATTTTTGTGGTATAAATTCAAAAATATCAGCTTGATAGTAAATGAAGAAAAGTGCCATATTAAAATAATACAATTCTATACAAATACAAAAAAGTTTGACAATCTTTTATTATCTCTTAGTGAGAAAAACAAAATGATATACTAAGAAATCTGTTTCACTGCTCATTAATATATTTGAAAAAAACTTGCGTCCATTGTGTGACCAAAGTTATGTGGAAAAATTAATACGTAAAAACAGGAAATTATATCATAGAGGGACCCCTGCAGACCCTCACGAGTGTGTGAAGGGCAACGCATCTCTCAAAATGTCCGATGATTCACACGATTCATTTGACAGCTTGTAAAATTTCATGTGGTGTGATATTGTCAGACTTTGTTCCGTGTTTTGTGTGTTTTGCTCCCCATGTGCCCTCCTTTCCCATATTTGGTTAGTTTCCTGTTCCTGTCCTGATTATGTTGATTTAATTCCAGGTGTTCCCCATTTATTTCCATTGATCCCAGGTGTGTCTCGTCATCCCCTTGTCTTGTCATGTGTTTAAATAATGTTCCCTGTTTTTAGTTCAGTGTCCAGTATTGTTCATGTCTACATGTGCTATGTGAGTTTTCCGTGTTTCCTTGTTATTATTAAATCTCTCTGGATTGATGTACTCCTCGTCTCCCTCCGTTCTTTGCTCCTCACTCCACTCAGTAGTGCAAACGTGACAGAATAACAGACCTAAAAAGATGACTGCAGCTGAGGACGCGCTGTGGGGTTTGTGGCTGTAATCTAGTGCTGTTCTTAAATGGTTCAGATTTCGAAGTTGAAGAAGTAAAGAAATTTCCCAAGCCTCGTCATCCAACTCCTGCTGGAACGCGTCACGTCTCTCCAGCTCACCCCACGCCAAGAACCTCCACATACCTCGCCAACGGCTCCTACCGCCTGCCCAACCCCAAATTCCCTGCTGTCCTCTGAAGCTCCGCCGTGGTCCTCAGCCCAGGAGCGCCGGCCGCTTGGAAGTAAAGACGGCCGACCTCTCAACAGATAAGCTCTCCGGACGCGCCGTTGTCATGTCCGCCGGCCACGGCTCACTCTAGCCTGCCGGCCCTGGCTCACTCAAACCCGCCGGCAGTTCCGATGTCAAGCCCGCCGGCTGCTACGAAGTCGGGCCCGCCGGTTACCGCAACGACAAGCCCGCCGGCTGCCCAGTTCACCCGTAACCAAGGAGGACGAAGAGAAAAGGACTGTTCTCTGCCTTCATTCTAGCCCCAGAGCTCGCTCCAGTGTCGGCTCCAGCCCCAGAGCTCGCTCCAGTGTCAGCTCCAGCCACAGAGCTTGCTCCAGTGTCGGCTCCAGCCCCTGAGTTTGCTCCACTGCCAGCTCCTCGAAAGCGCCTTGCTGTGCCTGCGCCTCCAGAGCGTCCTCCAGTGCCAGCTCCTCGTAAGCGCTTTCCAGTTCCCGAGTCTAGCCCAATAAGGGCTCCAGATCCCCCATTGAGCCCAGGGTGGGCTCCAGATCCTCAGTTAAGCCCAGGAAGGGCTCCAGATCCTCAGTTAAGCCCAGGGAGGGCTTCGGATCCCCAGTTAAGCCCAGGGAGGGCTCCAGTCCCCTGTCATGGCCCACGGAGGGCCTCGGAGCCCGTAAGCGTCCCCAAGTATTTTTTTTGGGGGGGGGAGGGGGGTAGTAGTGCTCCAGCTTTAGAGGCCGGGGCGGGGGCTGGGGCCG